CACAAAAACCTTATTCATCTGCCAGGTTAGTAGGAATTCTGTGGGCTGGAACTCACTCTGTAAGTGACCAAAACATACCAGGCGTGGGGCGTATCTCTCTGTAATTTCCTAAAACACCAACACAACATGCCACATCTGTGTACATGCACAGATACACCAGTATCACACCAATAGAATAACAACTTCCAAGTGTACACACATACACACCAGCAGCAGCAGCAGCATTACAACAATGAGCTACCTCCAAGCATACACACATATACACCAGCAATACACAGGTGGAATAAGCACATCCATGTGCATGTACAGACACACCAGCACCACATCAACAAAGTAAGCTATTTCCGTGCAGACATGCCAGTATCACACCAGCAGAATAAGTCACTTCTACAGACACACCAGCTCATACCCACAGACACGGCAGCATTAAAGGGCTGCTTCTGGCTACCGTGTCAGAGGCAGCATCCAGGACCCCACTCCCTTCTGGGAGCAGCTGCTGAGCTGGCAAAGCAGCAGACAGGACTCTGCATTTCATGTGTCTCTCTTGAGACCATGATGCTTCTCCTGTGAAGTGCACAAAAGAGGAAGGGAAGTGTGGGGCACATTGCAAAAAAGATGACAGCAAGGCAAAACGAGTCTTGGGCTACCCCAGGAATCTTGGTCTTAAGACCTGTTTTCCACAGCGCTGTGAATGGAGGTTTGTACAGTTGACACAAACATAATTGCCATGATATAGTAAGTGCTAAATTTGCTTTCTGCTTCAATTTAGGTACAATTTGCAATACTGTTTCTATAAGAAAATCTATTCTGAGTTCTAAACAATCAATTTATATTTGAACTTAAAGAGCACAACTCATTTGCATGTAAAATTGCAGTAATTGTTTTCTTTGGGTATTTTTAATGAGCCAATCTCCCCCAGGGACCCCCCCCCCACAAAGTGCAGATCATGGCTCATTTTCATGAAGAGTAATTGAATGTTATACACAGATCTTTGCAAAGTACAGATTTAGTCTACAGATAGGTTTCCAGTCGTCTTTTGAAGAACAGAACTTGCTCTGAAACAAATGTATTATGTTGGAGGAACAGATTTTTCTAACCGCTCTAGCTTCAGTGTTTTTAAAAGTTAGGAATTGAGAAATGTCTCAATGGGCAAACACCCTTACTGCTCAAGCATGAGGACCTGAGTTCAAATTCCTGGCACCCACAATAAAAAGGTGGGCTTGTACCCCATCAGAAACCACGGTAGAGTAGGGGAAGAGACAAGAGGGCCACTGGGGCTTGATCATCAGCCTAACCCTACGTTCAGTAAGACACCCTATGTCAAGTGACTAAGGCACAAAGTGACAACGCGGGACACCAGACATCCTCCTCTGGTTGCTGCCTTGGCATGTGGGCACAGTCCATCAGTCACCGCACCTCGGGACCCTCCTGCTATGTATTCCTCTCATGAAATACAGCCTTCAATCCAGGCGTCAAAATGCAGCTCTCCTCCGAGAGTTTCTCAGGAGTGTTTTCTCGGGAAGTAACTAATGCAGGTCATCTTTCATCACTTGAGAACAGCCCACATTCTGCAAGGCTGATGGGAAACACGTCCAACTCAGATCAGAGTCCCACCAGTGTCTACTACTTCATCTGAGCCACAAAAGGAGGCATAAGCATGGACTCACCCAATGTAAGACTTGAACAAACTCAAAGATGACGTCGGATGTATTTTACTTCCTACAAAGGTCTGAGCCACAGCTCTGCCATGGCTCTAGATAGGAAGTGGTGGAGGGTCTGAGCCACAGCTCCAGTGTCATGGCTCTAGACGGGCAGTGGTGGAGGGTCTGGACACAACCCTTGCGACTGTGAAGAGCTGACCTAGCCCAGTCAGTGGACTGGTCCTCAGCCCCTTACTCCAAAGGGAAGGTGCTTTATCCAAATATCAGATCACACTTACGTGTCCTCAAACACCAATGAGACCTGTGCTCACGTGTCTGAGCCCCTGAAAAAGCAGCTAGAAACTGCTGCAGACTCAATCCAGTACTCCCTGTAGATTAAAGCGCCCTGAATTTTCCAGGGTCATACATCTGGGATAAAACAGATCAATTGGAGTCAAATAAGAAAACTCAAACAAATATTGAAGGAGCGCACCCATGAGGTGCTTCTTGAGGAGTAGGGCTACACTTACGCCGCAGATGTCCCCCTCCTGAAGAGGTTCCGCTCGAGTCCTGACGACTGCCCCTAACACAAACGGCCATTGCAGTTCCAGCACAAGGAGCATGTCTTTCCACCATGCCATGCCCTTCATTTCGCAGATGAGAACTTGGATCCCGGATTTCTGAACTTGATTTGTTTCCCCATATTAGTTATTTGGAGTCTTATTTGTAACTTAGCCGCTTTGTACGGCCCTGGAACCAACACACTTATTTTTCATCGAATCTGTAGCTCAAGCTCATGATACATGCTGCCAACTTTGAACAATTCTGATTATAAAAACCAAAGCATTAGCCATTTTTAGGATCCATATGCACAGGCAAATAACTACTCTCCCTGTAAGTGGCGGGCTGACTTCCAGTCTAGGCAGTCCAAAGATGACCCAGGGCCACCTAGCTCTCACAGGAGACCTGGCACAATTTTGAATTTTTAATTGTGACTTAATTGGGGGTGGGGTCACAACATTATCAGACTCAACACTATCACAAGCTTCGAATTGCAGTTTTTACTATGTGGCCCAGGTCTACACCAAAGGGGGTCTCTGGAAACTATGCACATGAGGGGCAGCAAGAGTGGGAGAGAGTTGGGAGGAGAGTTGTGAAGCCTGTTGTCTGGACTTGACCATCACTCTCAGACTCACAGCTGTAGTGGTTATCTGCATCATTACTTTGCAAGACCCCTACACATACAGGTGAGGGACTCCTGAGGGACCACGCCCACCTCTGAGGAGCTAGTAGAACTTAATGACTGCAGGAGGAAGGGGAACCATGTTTCTCTGATGTCTAACTTGTCCTTGCTCAAGTAAACCATTCCCTACCCATGCTTGTCAAAGCAACCCTAATGAAACTCAGTGGGCCACGAACAACAAAAACCCAAAAAATAAAAGAGACTGAATAAAAGCCTTGATGTTGTCCAAAGATGTAAAAAAAAAAAAAAAACAAACAAACCACCAACCAGTGAGCGTGCATGGGATGATTCTAGGATACTCACATCCCCCCCCCCCCAAATATGTAACAGATGAACAGCTTAGTCCTCATGTGGGACCTCTAACAGCAGGAGCAGGGTCTCTGACTCTGCCTGTGGATCCCTTTCCCCTAACAAGACAGCCTTGTCTAGCCTCAATGGAAGAAGATGGGCCCAGTCCTACTTGATATGCCAAGGTGGGTTGATGCCCATGGGAAGGAGGGGCACAGGAGGAAGGAAAGAAAGGTGAGAGGGAGGGCCTTGGAGGAGAGGAGGAGAGAGGGACTGGGAGAAGGAGGAGGGAAATTTCCTACTGGGAGGTAAAGTAAATAAATTAATGAAAAAAGTGTCTTTCTTAAAAACGCACATACGAGTGTCCTCATACAGTACATAAAAGAACTCACTCCTGACACTGATGCACATGGCTTTTCCTTTGTCCCCTGGTGAGTTCAAATCAAACACATGCACAGCCGTGCATTCTCGTTTCCCCAACCACAGCCAGCTTTACTAACTAGTGTCATGATTTGGGAAAGGAGAAAGGCCTGTCCATCTAGTGCCTTGTATAATTTTACATAGGATCAAAGCAATGTCATTAATCTTTCAGTAACAAGGCATTTTGTCCATTTCCAATACCAGAAGGTTTCTGAACTCAAAAATACAGTCATAAAAATTCCCACTGGAACATTTTAAATAAAGGTCCTACATAAGACAACAACAACAAAAGGTTAAATCCTATGTACACCAAAAGGTTTTTGGTTTCGCTTTGTTGACAAAATGACAGGATCAAACCCTGTCTGAGCATACTACATAATATTTAAACACTGAGTCACACCCCAGCCAACAATAAACTTATGATTTATCAGTAGACATCTGACTTATATACTGCTTTCTATACCAGCCAGAGTCTCATGTGAAAAGGGATTACAAGTATTAAAGCTTAAGTACTGCTCTGCCAAGCACAGTGGTATACGCATTTAATATCCAGAACTTGGGAGACAGGGGCAGGCAGATGAGTTCCAGGACAGCCAGGATATACAGTAAGACTGCCTTTACACTCTCAACCCACACAGAGCATGCTCAGAAATGTGCCCACAGATAAATGACTGGTATTTTGCCAATTTTGCCTTTTGCTTTCTATTCAGACACTGCTCTAAGAACCATCTTCAACATGCTCCTCACTTGCTGCAAGAAACAAACCATTCTTTACTCTTAGCTTGGCACACAACCAAAAGATGAACCCATTGCTTCTGGTAATAGAAGTAATCCAAAGAAGTAATCACAAAGAAGCTATGGCAGCCTTACAAAAAGAGGACAACACTCCTATGGACCCTGAAAGTACTCAGCAACACCCCGGAAGGGACCTTTCCACTTCTGGAGGCAACCGTTAAAGCTGCTGGCCAGACCTCAGCACTGGAGCACATGGTGGCCTTGGGATGGCTTGGTACTGTGCCAGCACATGAGCAAGCATATTAAGAAAGGAGAGCAGGGTTCCACTTTCAGGAGATGGCTACCATTCGGCTTAATGCTAGCAGTGTATCTTCTAACAGGCAAACCATCTGCAGGGGACAGTTTTAAAATCTAAAATGACTGTGTTTGTGAAGGTTTGAATACTGATCTGAACTGAAAACCAGGAACAAATTATCTTCTGCTAACTTAAATCCTGAAAAATGTTTTACCCTTATTCAAGGGCGTAAAGGTTCAGTGTTATTTGACATAGGTCAACATACTTCCATCTCTACAAGCCCTATAATCAAGACAGATGGAAACATTCCATTCTTGTACCTTTGCTGATGTGATTTAATGAGCACAAGCTATCAGGGTTTGACACACCCATATTCTCAAACAATCTTATGACCAACATTCTAAAGTATGTCTCATGATCAGTAAGTATACTCATATCATGTATTCAAAGATATGTATCATGTGTTCAAACATGTTAAGTTTTATGGGAGGTGATTTTAGTCAACAAGACAGTGCCACCAGTCACAATGTTTTTACATTTAGGAAACAATTTTTACAAAAAGAAGGTTTTTATGAGAGCATATTTTAATAAATCAACAGGCAGAGCAAAAGAACAATGATAACACAGAAACAGCGACAGCAAACATGATGTACACCACTACAAAGGTATCTGCAACAATCAGACTAACTAGCAATATACACCCCAATGACCCTACCTTATATACAGGTTATATGAGCAGGAAGTTTGAAACACACAGAAAGAATGAATGTACCACATGTACACAGGCTCTCCTCATTTTACTTAGCTCAAAGTCTTTATCTACAACTATGTCCTGTCTAACAATTTAGGAAGATCCTAAATCAAACCACTGCAGGACTGTCTAAATGTAAAACCCACACACAAACAAATCATTACAGTGCTTTCATTTAACTGCAGCGAATTCTCAACTCTATCCACTACCGTTTACGATCGTGGTTAAGAATAAGGCAACAGGTGCTTCCAAACTTTTCCAGTCACACATAGGGAGACCTGAAGACCACACCTAGAGCACAGAGTCCGTTATTCCCTACTAATAAAGTGCTCTTAGCTCAAGACAAGTCTCCACCGGACAGGCTCCTCTGAATACTGCCACCTTCCAGATGCCTGGCACGTCACTGGACCCGGCAGTCTTCCTTGCTGGCAGAGTTAGGTCCAGCTGCTGGGCTGGAGGCAGGGAAGGTCCGCTTGGCCCTCAGGCCCTCCCTGGGGCTCTCTGCAGAGTTTCTCCTAAGAACATTACTGGCTGTGAGAGACTTGGCTGGGAGTTCTGGGAAGGCAGTGTGTGAATCCACTGAGCTCTGCTGAACAACTGTAACCTACAACATACAGAATCTGTTAGAGGTTCAAAATCACAGTCACATTTTTCAGTAGTCATCGTTTTGTTCTATAGGGGACTGAACAGAGGACATTACACATGCTAGGCAAGTGGCCCACCAGTCAGCTACATTCCCAGCCCTATTTTTACTTTACATTTGAGACTTTACTTTTTACTTTACATTGCCCAGGCTAGCCCTGAACCCACTTGATAGATCAGAGAGAGACCTTGAACTTGTGATCCTCCTGCCTCAGCCTCCTCTAATAGACTTAAACATCTATACAGTCAGACCTGGTCACACTCACACTGGCAAGAGATTAAACTGAAACACCCATCACCTGGGGTAGCACTTCTGTGGGAAGGACGACAACCTTATCTTTCTCCCTGAAAATAGGCGCCACATAACAGGAGTTAAAACATCAGACACAGCCTATAACAAATCCCAGGCTTCTCTGGACACCACTGCTGGCCAGAGCCCTGCTTTCAAGCAAGTGTGGCAGTTCAGAACAGAAGGCAAATGGTTTGAAAGAAAACACTGCATCTTATTTACCTACACACACTCTTTTTTTTTTATTACTTTGCAGCATCTTGTGATCTATTAATCATCCTTTTTTTTAAGATTTATTTATTTATTATTTATACAGTATATAGTATTCTGCCTGCATGTGTACCTGTAAGCCAGAAAGAGGGCACCAGATCACAGTATAGATGGTTGTGAGCCACCATGTGGTTGCTGGGAATTGAACTCAGGACCTTTAGAAGAACAGCAAGTGCTCTTAACCTCTGAGCCATCTCTCCAGCCCCCTTCTACACACACTCTTAACACCCACAATGTACCTGATTACCTGGTAAATACACAACCAGTTCCTAACTGAGAACTAAAACCTGCCTCATTGGTCCTGAGTCGCTGCTGCACTCACAGTAAGTATAATCCAAATGCATACAACTGACTTCAGAGGAATAAACTGTATTTACAACATGTCAAACACCCAGGACCCATATCAAAGTGTAAATCACTCTCTTAATAGTGTTGTTTCTGTACTGGATTTGGAAGATAATTATCTAATAATGAAGTCCAGAAAGAACAAATCCCCATGTTGTTCTGTCATTTAAGTGAAAGTGATTATACCAGAAAACAAAACTATAAGAAATGGTAAGATGATGTAGGTGTTGAGTCAAAATTTATGACATCTAAAATAGTGAGGAAATATAAGAGATGAAAGTAAAATAAAGAAGGGTTGGGGTTCCTGCATTGTAAGCGTGAGGACCTACCATGTAAAGAGGCTGGGCATGATAGTACTCTAAGGATTGCTGGCTCAACAGCCGTATTCTAGTTGGTGAGCTCTAGACCAATAGGAGATGCTACCCAAAAATTAGGTGAAAGACAAGGAAATACAAATACAAGAAGTTAAAGGCAAAATGGAAGTTTCCTATACAAGACCTTCAGAGGAAACCAGGGTAGCAAGATAGAAGACATGACATCAGCTGAGCCCAGGAATTCAAGACCAGCCAGCACAATAGTGAGATGTAGCTAAAAACAAAACAAAACAACTAGTCATCTACTGGGCCTACTGGCCCAGGAATGGCAATTTTCAAGGCATGCTTGAACTTGCTAAAGTAAACTCAGGTCAGCTAGGCAACTTAGTGAGACACTGTCTTAAAATAAAAAGTAAAAGGAGGGCTGGAGATGGAGCTCAGTGGCAGAAAATCTGCCTAAATGCATAAAGCCTTATGCTCAGTGCTAACCAGTACTGCACCTCACCCCCCAAGAAGGGAAAGTTAATAGAAGTTTAAAAAGAGAAGCTACTTTGCAAGTACAGACTGATCTTCAGTGTGGTGTCCCAAAAGCAACTACCAACAGACACAGAGTTCCAGGTAACATTCAGAAACAAGGAACAGAATGGAAATCACTTTTCCACTTGTATTCTTCCTAGAGAAAGCATGTGACTTTCAGTGGCAATTAGATACTTTACATTACAAAACCCACAGTAAATCTGGCCTGCAAATACATCAATTCCCTGGAAAGCTGCTCCTATCTCAGAGCATGTGCACAGGACACTGAAACCAGCAGCCAAGGACCAGACATTGGTGAGAAGTGACCATCTGTGAAAAGTTGAGGGGAAAAAAAATTGTAATGGTACTGCTATTTTTTCTTTTTCAAGAGAAGTAATAACATCAAGACAAGGGCTTCCCTAGAATCTATGAGTCACAGGGACATTAAGTATTTAGGTACAGACAACGAAGGAGGAAAGGAGGGAAGTAGGGAGAATAATCACAGAGAGATAAGGAACAGAGACAGCAAGACCTAATAAAGTTACTACAGTACATTCCTTGGCTTTTCCCTCAGACTTAATTTCAGACATGGAATTGAGTCAGTTACAGTCTGTGATCAGAATCTAAGCATGAGTTGGGATGTCCATGCACGTGTTGGCTTCTAAGTGGTCTATAACCAGGCAAGGTTCTGAACCATCAGACAGTACACTGCCCTTTATACTGCAGCCTGATGGGGAGAGGATAGAAGTTAGTGGCTGGGGGAAATGAACCTTACTACAACATCCTCAAAGAACTGCTAAGTGACTCTATGCTCAAAGCAACACTACCACCCACGGCAGGCCTTCCAATTTAGCGAGGCCAGTCCAGGAAGCACCGTCATTCAGGGAATCAAGTCTATAAACAGCAGCTCCTTTGTCTCCAGCAGACTAGGACTTCCTGGGCTTCCTCCTCAGTGACAACAAACAGCAATGCACCCAAATGCATTTTACCAGTTCTTTTCCTACCTGGAACTCATCAGTTATTAATAAATAACATAAGAAGTTGCCTCTAACACAGATTTCACCTTAAGGGAGAATTTGCCATTTGGAGCGTCAAGGCACCTGCTTTAGGTAAACAAAGCCTTGATCTGTATTTTTTAAGCTAAATTGAATCATGCTTATAAGTACTTTTAACAGAGCATCTCAGAAAATGCTGACTTAAACTGAAAATTACTAGGCTAGGTTTTTAAAACATGAATCTAAACATAGTCTCGCAGACCCTCTTTTCAAGAGGGCCCCCTGCCACTCTTCAAGTGCATAAAACGGCTTTGTAATTCATAACTGCTGCTGCCAACTAGACTGCATGTAGCTAATGCAGAGAACACAAATCTGCAGGAAACCATGGTTACTGCTCTGTGCCATCAGGCTCCACCGCAGTGTGGAGTGCAGGCCCCCTGGTGTGCACAACGCATTCTCCTAGGTAATAAATCCAAGCACCGCATGCAAACTGCTTTTACCATCAATGCCTTATAAAAGAAAAACAACAACAAGGCCCTGTGATGACTTCATAGGACGGTTTCTTATCTTTATAAAAATCTTATTACTAAAGTCACTTCAAGAGATCAATCACACCTCCATTCTCACAAGCTATGAGAAAAACGTATTATAAAGTTTAACTGCATAAGGAACTTCCACATTATTCAAAACAAATCATCTGCAATGCACTGCTGTTCTGATACAACTGATCACCTATGGTTCTGGATTCTGGTGTACAAAATCCTGAGAGCTGTGCTCACTCATGTAATGACCATTGCAAACAGGAGCCACTACACTTGTTAACAAGCTTTTCGTTTTTTTTTCCTTTGCTGATTGAATGTCATCAGATGCCATACTTAAACTCTTGACAGGTGAGCAAAGTAACATCATAAAATTTTAAAACTTCTTGTTACTCTAGAAATTTCCAAGAATATTCCCATGGTTCCCAGTTTGAGAACCAGTTGCAAAAAAAAAAAAAAAAGAGGTATGAAGGGGAGGTTTAAATTTGTCATGACTGTCAGCTTCTTCATTCCTTTACAAGAGCATAGTGTAAGAGATGGATAAATAAAAAGTGAGTTAGGTAAGTGTTTAGTTAGGAGAGTGCTTGCCTGCCATACACAGCACAAATGGGGAGTGGTGATGTACGTCTATAATGGCAGCACTAAGGAGGTGCAGGCAGAAACATCAGGAGTTCAAGGCCATCCTTGCTGACACAGTGAGCTCAAGGCATGACTGAGATTTTATTTTAAAAGTTGAGATTGGCACATGCATTCATGTGCAGAAAGGGTGCTGCTAGTATAAATTACAGTGTTAGAAACAAAAATCAGCTGAGCAAATACTTTCCAACTTTTGTACAAGGTAGAGAATAAATGCCATAGGGAATAAGGAGCTTTGATGACAGAGGGCAGAGTGAAAATCTAACAGGAAACAAATCTGAACTGAGGCCAAAGGAAATCCACCTCTGTAAAGCACAACATCACTACTTCCCTGAGAGCTATTTACCAGCAGCCCTTTGGGTAGAGAATGAGACTAGGCGTCAGGAAACTGAGGCGCACACCCTTGGACTTGCTCACTGGGACCCTGAGTCAGGTACTGCGGCATCCAACCCAGGGCCAGCTAACAGACTCCCAAGAAGGCATGCAGGAAATGACACCCACAGATCACCTTTTGTGATTTGCTGCCACCAGCTGTTGGTTTTGAGGACTCTGCAGCATTTTCTTTGCCCAGAGTTGGGGAGGATCCCGCTAACTTCTGTGCAGCAAGGCGGGGGCTGGTCCTGGTTGCCATGGTTGTTCTCCGTAGGATATATGGGCTCGCCTTTCCTGTTGGGATGTCAGCAAACCCTATGGGCAAAAGAGCTGCTTGTCAGTAATGGCAGGAAATAGGCATTCTGTTCTGTTTCAGTTGTGCTAGCAATGGAGTTCAGGTGCTTGCCCAAGTACAAAGTTTCAATAACGGTAAAGATAACTATAAAACATAGTTTCTCCTCAGCCATAGAGAATAACGTATTAAACTTCATAACTGCCTTGATGGTCATGAAATGAATTGGAAAATCAGCAGGTTATTCATTACTAGAAAGATAAAAGATTTAAAAGAACCACAATGGGAGAAAGATTCAAAGAGAATCACACTAAATAAATAAAAGTTTTGCTTCTTCTACATGGCTGCATTTTACCTTGCATTTTCTAAGATAGGTGGGACATTTAATACAATTAAACTGGGATGGGGAAAAAGCCAGCTCTTGTCTGAAGAGGACAAATGTAAGCCAACAGTAACTCTAGGCAACCTGTCTCAAGTACAGTCAGGTAGGAGCGCAGGCTGGACTTCCTAAGAGTGTCTTTGTATTTGCTCGTATTGTCTCCTTCTAGGAAAGGAACTTACCTTACTGGTGGCGAGAAGGCTAGCCACCGAGACACCACAAGAAATGACAGGGCACTGCAGCTACACTCAGATCTACCTACAATGATGTTCTTAATCCCTTAATAAGTCATTAGAGAGAGACAGCCAGCTAAATACAGTTACTCAAAACATAACTCCTCTTGTCAGCTCTGATTTCAGGGTGTAGAACAGAAGATCCAACCTGCTGTAGATTTAAAAATAAATAAATAAAACTATATAACTGAAGCTGGGTATGGTAGCACATGTCTAAAATCCTAGCATAAAAAGCCTAAGACAGAAATATTAGTTCAGACCAGCCTGAACTACGAAGTAAGATTCTGTCTCAAAATATCAAAAAGAATTAAAAACAAGACTTACATTAAAAGAGCAAAAAAGTCTCCTTGTGATTTAGAGACTGCAGCAACAGCAAGTGGCTTTGAAAATTCTAAACTCTCGCTTCCAGGGGGTCTGTGTAAAGCACCCCATATGGCTCAAGAAAATAAAAGCTGATTGATAAAAGGAATTCCTAAACAGACTTTTAGCAGTCACTTCCCAAATCTACCAGCCCTTTTCATAGTGTTGCAGTTCATCTTAGTGATTTATGACATCACCAATTTAAAAATGAACTAGTCTCCCCAGGGAGTGGACTATCATGCAATAATTCCACATGACAATTTTTATGAGAAATCTCAAAATTCTACTTTAATGCAAGGACTTGAACAGAGGACCACATGTAAGCTAAGTCCACGGCATAGCGATGAGCTGCGCCCTCAGCCCTATAATTCTGTATATAAACACTGCATACCTTTCTTAACAACTTCTGGGAGTCCTTCTGGCTCAATCTCAGTCTCTTCCTCATGGCCAGCAGGATGAATACTACTACTGACCACTTTCCTGCTCTTTTTAGAAAATGTCTCTGGTGTAGAAGGTGTTGTCCCATTACCATTCTCCCAAATTCCACTAGACCTTTGCCTCTTGCATGAAGTTTTATTTTGGCCTGATGCTGACTTCTTCTCACTGACAGAAGCAGTTGGAGATGGTCCTGGAAGTGAAGAGTTCAGCAAAGGAGAGCCCTGGTGCTGCCTGGATGGCCGTGAACTCAGCCGAGCAACTTGTATTTCCAATATCTCTTTGGCTTTTTCTAACTCCTCATGGCTTATAAGCAGGGAACAGTACTTATCCAAGTACTTATCTGCTTCCTTGTTTTTTTCTTCAAGAGTCTCTTTCAGCTCTTTGTTCTCAGCCATTAATTCGTGTACATTATCATCCACAAAAGACCCTGAGGAAAATAAGATGACACATGACACACAAGTCGCTGCTGCTCTGTTAAGAGCAAACACTTCCCAGCAGGTAACCTTTAAGCCTCCTGTTCTTTGAACTATTCCAGGAGTGAATGACCAAAAAACAATCTAGTAGATAACAGTTTAACCCATCAACATTTAAACTCCATTATAGAATTAGTTATAAGAGATCAAGCAAATTGAATATATCCCCCTTCCCCAACTCATTCTTTCTGCCATAAATGAATACGCAAAGAAGTCATGAATGACAAAGTCTATGTTACATGGTTTGGGGACAGGTGCCAGCTAGCCTGTGGATATTTAAGTCCCTATATTTAAGGTTGTGAAAGCATTTTGAGAGAATACAAAGAGACTGGCAGGTACAAATGTAGAAGAAGGATATCAAGGCAGGGCCTAAGTCAACTTCTAGATAGCAAGAGTGGCAATCACTTTATGAGGTAATTGGCATAGTTAATTACCAAAAAGAAAAAATAAATAAAAGAAAAAAAAAAAAAAAGAACTACTCAGACGGTACCAAAACAGCAGGTTTTCCCCCATGGAAATAATTCTATTTCAAATCCTATAGTCAACACACAAGGTTAAGACCACAGTTCAGAAATTAGAAAATATTAGTAGGAAAGTACTAAACTATTTTTAAAAACTTAGCATACAACAAAACATTGAAGCACTTTTACACACACACACACACACACACACACACACACACACACACACGAGTGCCCACTTGCTAGGACCCACTTGCTCTCTTCTTCTGTGCAGCTTCAAGCTGGGAGAGCTCTTTCTGCAACAATTTCTTTTCTCCTTCCAACTGTTTACAGGATTTGAGCAACAACTTTATTTTCCCTTGAGCACGTTGATATTCCTTCTCAACCTGATTCACATATTTATGGTGGACTACCTACAAAATAGATGTAACTTCATTTAAAACCTTGAATTTCATTTTACAAGTGTATAGTGAAAACAACTAAAGCATATTAAAGCAATATATAGTACAGTTATGCTTAAAATATAACATCTGAAGATACATAAAACAAACCCTCTCTCTATCAGCATTAAGTCTCCCCAACAGGCAGCTGTGTTTGGAATTGTCTTCAGCATTACATGGATCATTACATGGATCATTACATGGCTCCTAGCCTCATGGCAGTATTAGATAGTGAAGATCATTAAAGACCTGAGCACTAACTCAGCTTGGGTTCCAAAACCTGAAACAAACTTTAATACATCACAGAATGTTTTACAAAGACAACCAAAGAGCAGGCATGCCAAATTAGCAGATTCTAGCAAATTTGCCATTGGGAAACTTACTTTGATATTCTTTAGTTCTTCCATCGGCGCTTTTAATTCTTCCGTTAGCTTAGTTTTCTCTTCATTGAATTCTTCTTTCATCCTTGTTGTTTCCTGTACCATTTCATGCAGTTCCCTCTGTAGCTCTGCTTCCTTCTCAACCATTGTGTTAACCTGGAATTGAATCTTCATCAGCACTTGCTCTAGTTGGGTCTGTTGTGGCTGAATTAACCATTGTTAAAACACACACTGTTTCTTTAAGAAAACAGAACCTGGCCTCCAATCAAGTCACTCAGTATTCTCAAAACCTACTAGTGAACTTCCATTTCTTTTTTCCTCAGCAAAGATTTAAAATAGCAGTAAGAAAAAAAAGACAGGTAATATTCCTAAGTCTTAGGACACCTCACAGGTTTTAATTTGAATTAACATCAGAGAATGTTTTGAGGGGGTACCTTAGTTTTTTATCAGCTCTTAAATCTATTAATCCCACAATGCTACTCTAATCTGCTAGAAACATGCTAAGAATTAAAGCTATACATGTGCAAATCCTGGGAAATACAGTTGTGATAGATTTCATCTTTCTGGACATTCCTTTTTAATTATCTGTTGAGTAAAAACTTTAATTTGAATTCATCAATTTAATTCACAGGTCAGGTGATTTTTCTCAAGCCACACCCTGGAAGCCATGAGTATCCCTCTGGTTTGATATCTTTAGGCATTCTTTCTCTTAAAGGAGCAAAGGACAAGGAATACCTTCTGATCCTAATCTGTTACATTGCCACAGTGGTTCTCAGCTAGATGGGGGGGGGGGGGGGCGCTTCTACCCTGATGAACTTGTTAACTGCAGATAATAACCTAGAACTGTATACATCAAACCCAAGATTCCCCTACATGAAGAGGCAACATCAAAAACCTAATCCAGTTCACAAAAATGTCCCTTACAAGCACATCAGAGTGGTCACTGCTGCATGTGCTGACTAAATGTTCCTGTAGTCAAGACCCTAAAAACACAAAGCCAGAGAACCATCTGGAAGTCCCTCCCTCCTGACCATACTTCTACATGGAAGTAAGTAATGGCACTTACTCTTTTAACAAGTGCTATTTTCTCCATCTTCATCAATGTAAGTTCACTTTCTAGACCCTTGTAGGAATTCTGCAATGCTTCAAAGGTGTTCTGCAAAGCATTGTTTTTAGATTGCAGCACTTGGACCTTTTGTTCCAGCTCCACTGTCAGATTCCCTAGCTCTAGTTTCTGCTTCTGCCAGAGCTGCTGCTCTCCTTCCACTTGGGAAAGCTTACACTCAAGCTGCTCTCGACCTTTCAGTTGAGTTTCCAGTGTCCTGACATCTTCTTCCCTCTTCTCTAGTTTCTGTTTGCCAGCTTCTACTTCTTGAGTGAGGGCATTTACAGACGACTGAAAAATAATATATTTATTCTTGGCCTCACTAAGGTCCTGTAGCAACTGAGCCTTCTCAAGTTCAAGAGTTCCTACTTGACTACTCAGATTCTGCACTTTGGTCTTATAGTCCTCTTGGTCATTACACAAGGAAACCACTGTCTCATTCAGCTCCTTTAATTGAGTTTGAAGCATCTCCACTGTTCTTTTGGATTCCTCTTTCATCTGTACTTTTTCTTGCTCTTTTTCTTTCAGTAAGTTTTCAATCAAAGAATTTGTTACTTCTAATTCAGATACTCGTTCTTGCTCTTTTTTTAATTCTTTCACGAGACTTTCATTTTCTGACCTTGTATTAATAAGTTCTAGCTCCAAGTCTTGGAGGTTTTGGGCCACTCCTTGTATTTCTGATTTTAAAGTCTGTACCTCTGCTTTGGAGTTCTCAGCTTGGAGAATCACTTGCTCTTTGTTTTCCTCTGAGTGCTGCAGTTGTTGTTCAAGGTTCTCAACTCTCTCCTTAAGCAAGTCTGCATGATGCGTACTTTCCTTCAGTTGCTCTAGGATGTGGCACAGCTTCTTTTCATCAGCATCTATGCGAACCTTCAGCTCTTGAATGCTATTTTTCAAGCAATGCACTTCTTCCCCTGGTTGATGCAGACTCTGTTCTTGGGCTTTCAAGGTTTCCTGGTCATTACACAAGGCTGCTACTTCCTCAGTGAGTTCTTTTAATTGTACCTGAAGCATCAGCGCTGCAGACTTTGAGTCTTCTTCCATCTGTACTCTTGCTTGCTCCTTTTCTTCTAACAGACTTCTAAAAGAAGAACACAATTCATCTAACTCTGATACTCGACTTTGTTTCTTTTGTAGTTGCTCTGTTAGACTTTCTCTTTCAGCCCTAACTATGACAAGATCTGATTCGAAAACTCTCAGGCTTTTGGCCATTTCATCCATTTGGGCCTTGAGGGTCTCCACCTCTGCTTTGGAATTCTCAGCGTCAAGAATTACTAGCTCTTGGTTTTCTTCTGACATCTCCAATTCCCTCTCCAGACTCTCCACTTTATCCTTCAATGAGTCATTTTCACGCTGGCTTGCTTTCAGTTTCTCCACAGCACTAAGGTGCTTCTTTTCATCTGCCTCAATGCGGACACTCAGTTTCTCGATGCCTCTTCTCAGCTGATGCACCTCCTCCTGGGTTGAGCTCAGCCGCACTGCAAACTCACCTTTCTCCGTGAGCGCTACTTCCAAGGCCTTGGAGACAGTCTGCTTTTCACATTCTGACTCAGTCAGCTTGACCTGGAAGTTCTGAGCCTCCTTGACCAGTGATTCTTTCTCTTTATTCAGTTGTCCAATTTGGATTTCCAGCTCAGCAACTGCCAAAGACGATCCCTGTAAGTCACTCTGCAAATTCTGTAGCTGTTCCTGGAGACAAGCTTTGTCTTCTGTTAACTCATTAACACTGAAGGACAGAGTCTGAATGAGTTCTGCTTTGTCCTTGACCTCAGACTCTAACACTTCCACATGACGAAGGCTCTCACTGTGGTGAGACTCCAGCTCCCCTATTTTCTCTTTCATCTTTTTAGACATCTGATCCAGTGCCTTGCTTTCTTCCGATACAGCATCTAATTCTCCACGAAGCCTGTTTCTCTCACTTATAACTACAAACAGTTCTTCTTTAAGGTCAACAATAACCTTCTGCTTACTTTCAGTGTCTCTTTCTAAACACAGCTTCTCAGCTTGAACCACCTCTAAGCTAGCTTCCAGAGAGAGGATGTGATGCCCCATATCAGCTTTCTCAGACTTGATCCTGGTCAGCTCCTCTTCCACATCAAAGAACTTCTCCTTCCAACCATCATCTGCGCTGGCTGCATTATCTTCAGCAGCTTCGCTTAGCAATTCATTTGCTCCCACTTCTAAGTTGCAAGCAGGATCTTCTGAACTTTCTACTCTTGAACATTCCTCCTGGTTACAAGGAAGAGATTCCAATTTTTCACTTATGTCAAATTTTTCCTTCTTGAGATCCTTGACTATTTTTTCCAGTTGTCTGCATGTTTCGATTTTGATCTTTAGTTGTACTTCCTGTAAACTGAGTTTTGAATCTGCCTCTTTTATTTCATTTAGCAAACTTTTGAATTTTTTGTCCCAGTCCTCTATTACAGGCAGTAATCTCAAATTCTCATTTGATGTGTCTTTCTGCAAATGGAGATGCTGGATAGACCCCTGATCTTCCAGAACATCCATGGGTACCAAAACATTAGGACTAGAAAACAATTCAGAAATGCATTCTGAACAGTCCTGAGTTTTGTCTTCTGCTGTTGTCTCACAACTGGTCTCTGGGGACTGCTCGTCACACCCCTCCCCTGTGAGCCTGGTAGTCTCGGTCTCAGTGACTGAAGTTTCTAGACAAAGGTCCTGCTGAACATGGTTATCACAAGTCTGATCAGTGTCCGGCTTTGGTCCTGTTTTCTCTGTCATCTCTGAAATATATACTTCGGATTCTTTTACATCATAACTATCATTTTGGCCGCGAACAGCCTGTAAACATAATGTAAACGAAGAAAGCATTTTATTTTTTAGAAGAAACAAAATAGAATCAGTGGTTTAATTATTATTTTTATAGAAACTGCCTGTATGGGTGCTGCTGTGCATATCTTTCCAAATAGCATAGCTCTCAACTTCATTCCATCCTGTTCTCTCTAGAAAGCCAACATTCAGTGGGTTCTACCTATGGGCAAAATACTGGGTAAGATATTTATCATAAGGATGAACCATCCAGGACATTTATTTCATCTAACATGAAAATTACATCTTTCTTTCACAGCTTTCAATGTTCTAGGCAGTGTAAAAGAGTAGTGTTTTAGAGAGAAAGATTATTTAAGATGGGTTCCAGTGAGGTAAAAAACTTAGCTTTCCTTTCTTCTGTATGTACACATGATTATTTTCACATACTCCTAAGTTACTTTACAAAATAAAATAAAAAATAAAAAAATGTACGTTGACATATGCAAAAAAAAAAAAGTAGTGGTTTTTTTTTGCATATGTCAACGTACAAAAAAAAAAAAAAGTAGTGTTTTTTTTTTTTTGTTATTATCAAACAAGAAGCTAACACACATAAGATAAAGCAGTTGACATGAGCCTCAGTCCTCATATTCTTTACTAAGAAAAGCAGTAAGGGTTTAGGAGAGTCTCAGCCCAAAGACCTCAGCCTGGTCAGAATTTTTTTGGATAAAGTGCATGTTTTTGTCTCAATTTCATCTACAAACTAGAGCACTACAATTTTGACGATCCCTCCCACCACCTCAATATGACCTATAACCTTTAACTCAACTTGCAGAACTAGAGTAAGACTCAAACTATGCTGGTAAACTAGAAAACACAAACCACAAGGAACTAAAGGATAAAGTAATTCTCTGAGAGCATTGCAAGCTGCTAAAAATTAACATTTAAATAATTTATTTAGCTTAATACCTGATGCTATAACATTTAAAATAGTCTGAAAGGCATGAGGCTAAGCCTCCTTAAAATATTATTCACTATTCTTAAGTTTGAAAGTGTGCCTTATTAATTTTCAGTGAAAGCATATGTGGTGGTTTGAATAAGAATGGTCCTCAGAGGCACATTTGAATGCCTGGTCATTAAGGAGTGGTGTGACCTGACAGGGATTAGGAGTGGCCTGGCTGGAATAAGTGTGCCACTGGGGGTAGGCTTTGGAGTTCCAAATGCTCAGGCCAGGACCAGTACCTCTCTCTGTTCCTGTCACCTGCCAATCTGAACGTAGAACTCTCAGCTACCTCTTGAGTACCATGTCTGCCTGTGTGCCATCATGCTTCCTGCCATGATGATAATGGACTAAACTGTTGAACTGTAAGTGAGCCCTAATTAAATGTTTTCTTTTGTAAGAGTAGCCATGGTCAATAGTTTCTCTTCACAGCAATAGAGCAGTGAATAAGATAGCAAACATTCAAAGACTTCCAACTTCAGACTTTAAAAACATCTTTAGGGATTTTCCATAAAATATTTAAAACAAATCATGATGGACATTTATTCCTCAAATGAAGTTTCCTCACATTTTTGAGTCCTGGTTGTCGCTGGGAAATTTTTGGTAGCCTTTTCATTTACTCCCTTGAACACTAAAAATACTCCAATTTTGATTTTATGTTTATTTCAATCCAACAAACATTTTCTAAGTGCTTAGGCGTGCACACAGAAAAACAGCATATATATCGCAGGTACTTACACTTTCCAAGTCAGGGCCAAGCAAAGACCTTGAGCTTAAGTCCAACTCCTGGAGCTGCAGTCGAGCAACCTCGAGCTCAAGGGACAGGTTCTTCGTCTGTTGCTTCTCTTCTGCTAACTTGGACTCCATTTCCAAAGTGACGTTTGTCAGCTTCTGCTGCCATTGCTCCTTTTCTGACAAATACTGCTTCCTAAGGCACCCAAGCTCTTTCCTTTCAGAAGTTAATAACTGCTCAAGCTCTTGAATTTCTTTATTTTTCATAATCCTTTGATTGTCAATTTTCTCTTCCAAATTCTTGAGGGACTCCAAGTACATCTGACACAAGACTTCAAGCTCCTCAACAGTCCTCACAGAGGCAGGGGAGACTTTTTTCTCAGTCAGACTCTCCTCCTCCAGACTGTTAGACACTTCATCTATGTTACAAGGATTTACTATAGTATTCTTTGCTAAACTTATAAGAGACGTGTCTCTAGTTTGCTCTAAAACTTCCTTGTAGAAAGGAGCTTCTTCAAAATTTGTCACCCTAGGGCTGTCTGTCCCACAGAGTACCAGTGGCCGAATATGGCCATCCTCAGCTCTAGGCTTCCTCTCCTTTACCAAGTCATCCTGCAAGGTTCTCAGATTCATTGACAACACAGAATTTTCTGCTTTTAATGTGTCAACATAGGAACGCATCGCTGACATCTTAGAGCTCACCTCACAGTGCTGATCATGTAAAATTTTGTGTTCACTTTGCAAACAGAAGAGTTTCTCCTGTAATTCAGCAAAGTGCACTCGGACTTCTTTGCTTGACAACGTCATTTGTTCACACAAACTGCTACTGTCCAAAGGAGTCAAGAACATAGATGTGCTGTTTTGTTTATCATGAAATTCAACGTCTGGCATGTTTATCATTAGCTCACTCTGGGTAAGAATATTTTCATGGTTAAGTACTTTTACTTCACTCACTAACTTCTCAACCTGTGCCACCATTTTACTAGTTGCTAGGATACACTCTGACCGTGAATCATTCAGCTCAGACTCTAGTTGTAGTTTTTCAACCTTCAGAACTTCACACATTTTCCGTAGCTCGTTCAGTTCGTTCAGTGCTGTCTGTAGAGAAGACTGCAGGTGTGCATCCTCCTGTTGACTTGTTGACCACTCACGGAGCACTGAAACATACTTTTCCTCTGCTTCTATTTCACAGTCCTTAGGGCCAATCCTTGCCTGTAACTGAGTGTCCAGTGAACTCTTGGTCCCTAGCTCTCCTCTAACTGTCTGTAATTCCTGATGCAGATTCATTTTCCCCTTTTCACTCTGGTCAAGCTTTTCTTCCATAATTTTTATCAAAGCTTCTAGTTGTACCAGTTGTGCCTTATAATTGTCTGGAGATATGTCTTTAGTGTCAATATCCATCTGACACTGGGAGCTACTCTTATTTATCTCATCTTCTGTTGCTTTTATAGAGTTCTCAACTGGGTCTACCTCGAGATGATGTTCACGTTTACTCTGTGTTAACTCCATTAGTTGTTCATTCTCATGTGGTAAGTCACTAACTTCCTTTTGCTTATTTTGCTCTTCCTCTAAAGTCAAGTTTTCTTGCCTTAAGCCATCGGCCTTACTCTTAGAATAGTTTTTGATGTTTGTAATCTCAGATCTCACAGTCTGTTGCTCTATCTCCAACTCTAACATCAATTTCCTATTTTGCTCTTCAGTAAAAGCTAATTTTGTTAAGAATTCTTGCTGTTCCTTTGCAAATGCTTCCCTTAGCTGTTCCAGTTCATTTTTTCTACTCTCACAAAGAGTAGTGCAATCACTGAGCAAGCTTTCTAACTTCGCGTTGTTTTCTTGTGCTGTTTTGTAGTTTCCCCTGAGATCTTCCAACACTGTTTCTGTTTCTTCACATCGCTGTAATAGCAGAAGTCTTTCTTGCTTATACTGACTAGACAACTCCTCAATGCTTCTCTCTCGTTCGGCTATACAGCTTGAAATCTTCTCCTGATTTTGGAGTAAACTCATTTTCTCCTGCTGTAAGGCCTCATTAACTTCCTTGAGAGCACCATTTGCCTGGGCTAGCTCTTCAATATCTTTTTTACTTAACAAGATGACAGAATTCATTTCCTTCTTCTCTGAGCTCAAGGTTTCAGATAAAAGTTGTAGCTCCTTCAGAGTGTCTTCAAGAAGACTGTTCCTCTTCTTTAATTCTTGAATCTCTGTTTGCTCAGCTTCTAATTTTTCTTTCAAAAGTTGCAACTCTTTTTCCTTAATCTCAAGAGTTGCTAAAGTTTCGGCAACAATATTCTGATGAACTGCACAGTCTTCCTGTAATTTACCAATGTGTTGATTTGTTTCAGCCACAAAATTTTGATGAATCTGCTCGGCTTTAATGAGGTTTTCTTCTATTTCCACTTTGATTTGTAGCAACTCTTCACAACGCTTTTGCAGATCTAAGTTTATCTGGTTTTGAGACTCCAAGGAACTTTCAAGTGAAGTGACTCTATTCTGTAAGACAGCTAGATTTTCGGAACTCTGGTCCCCATCTCCAGAGCAGTCACTATTTTCTGAATATATGCTTCCTTGCTCCCCCATTAGATTTGCAGAGGAATCACTCACTGCAGGCTGCTGTTCAAAAGTCAAAGAACTTCTCTGATTGTCCATCAGAGAAGACCCTCTGGATCTGAGGAAATCCCTCAGTGCCTCATATTCAGTATGCAAGTCTTGGTACTTCTGGTCTTTGGTCACTACTTCATTTGACAGTAACTGAAGCTTAGATTCCAAAACTTCAACTTGCCCAGTGAGCTCATTAGCTTTCAAGCACATATTTTCTATTTCCTTCTGATGCTTCTGATCTGAGTGCTCAGCTTTTTGTTGCAATTCTAAGTAGGCTTGTTTCTGTGTCTCAATCTCCACCATCTTGCTGTCTATCATACTGTGGAGGTTTCTAATCTCCACACTAAGGTTTTCTCTTTCCATCTCCAGTGTTCTTACTCTCTCGCTATAGTCATGACTGTTTATTTGTTGTGTCTTGAGGCTGGCTTCTAAGTGGTTGATTTTACTCTGCAAGCCTTCTTTTTCCAATTCTACGTGACTTATAATTTTTTCATTTTCACTTTTCCAACAAGAAAACTGATTTACCTCTTCTTTCAATTCTTCACACTCTTTCTTTTTTAACTCCAAAGCACTCAGCAAAGCCTCAAACTCTTTCTCAATCTTGTTTAACTTATTATTCAGTTGTTCAATGTGATGTTCCCTTTTCTTCAACAGATCTTGAGAACAGTCTCGCTGCCCTTCCAGATCAGCTAAAGCAAGCTTCAGCTTCTCTAAAGTTAGTGAGTTTTCTTGCTGATCTAGTTTTTCCTGAAGATTTCGTAAAATGATTTCCTGAGAGGTATTCTTGGCTATTAAAACAAACAGATGAACACAAAGTTGTCAGCATTTATACCAAATCAATATTCCATAAGAATTTAGACTCCAGCATTAGGGTGTAATTTGGTGGGAGAGAAGTACATAGCAAGTTTAGCTTATGGGTTCTACATATAAAATTTTAAATTTTAAACTAAAAAGAGAAAAGTAATGAAATTAATACTGTCACGTCCTGTAAAACTTGACATTAATGATGGAGTCCTTTTAAGTAATTCACCTAATAATAACCTTATGACCTAAGTTTATACAAAGACAGAGAGAAAAAAAATGACCATTTTAGTATAGTAATGTATCTGATAATCTTGCAAGCAGCTTCATAAAAATGATGTATGAAACAACAAGGAAGTTTAAAGTATTTAGAATTATTTCTTTTTAAAAATATGTTGAATATTTGTGGGCAAGAATGTTACCTACAGTCCAAGCCCACCTTCATAAGTGTAGTGAGAGGCTTTAACAGTCATGTGGAAGCTCCTACCACCACCTTATTTTTGTGCTACTGATAGCCCTTCCTACTTGGCAATATTTTCACTAAGCAGTGATGAAAAAGCTTAGGGGTGAGAAGGAATAATTGAAAGCATTTATAATAAACAATGCAATCTAGTATGTAATACAATGTAATACTAAATGAAAAGCTATACTTATTTTTAATCCACTAACTTTAGACCTATCCAATGAGAGTTGAAAGCTTGTGGAACAGTACCCTAAAAGCATCATTTTACTTTTCATTTGAGGGTCTCAAACAATAACACTTGATAAACCCTGAAAAATGACACAGTCATAACACATCCTTAATTTTCCTTAGGAAAGCTCAAGACTGGTATTTCTTCTACCTGCCATGGTAAAGGAAAAACAGTCTCAGGGATTCACTTCTAGCTACTTGGGAAACTGAGGCAAGAGGATTACTTGAACCTAGCCTTTGACAAAACCCAGTCTAAAACAAACAAAAAGAGAATGAAAATAAAGAACAATAGCAGTGTCACATATTCAGGCCAGCAGGTTAGAGATAAATTCCTCATGCAAACATCTCAGGTAAGAAAATGTTATATAAAAGGCATGCTACCAAAAATGTGAAACAAATGAGGATTCATTGCTACATATAACAAAAGTCTTCAGCTATAAACTGAGGACAGAAATTTAGTCAAGTAAACTCTCAAAATATAATGGTCATTCAGGAGTTGGAAAACATGCATTTAATTTTTCTATTCCTAAGAGAAATGGTAATGAGTGAACAGCAGTTGTATGCAACGAACACGCTTGAGACTTAAAGGATGGCACTCTAGGGTGAGAGACAGCACTGCCAATATAGTGTTGCGAAGGAAATATTTACCCCTCTGGTTTCAAAACAGTGAAAACCATGCGATTGGGATTCAATGTGCTCCAATTTTTTAAAGTTCAACTATCATGCTGGAAACTGAGCAGTAAAAAGAAAACATTGTCAACTGCAGGGACATTTTTGGGTGAATATAGCAAAGAACAGAGATTTTCCCAATTGGCTAATGTCATCCATCTTGCCTCAGGGGAATAAGACATAACAGAACTCTGGATAAAGGTGTTTGGTGCTAAGCCTGATGACTTGAATTTGATCCCCAAGAGCCACATGGTAAAAGGAGAGTTCTTCCATTGTGTTGCCATCTGACTTACACACACACACACACACACACACACACACACACACACACACACAC